TTCAGCTTGGATTAGACTATTTTAGTTTGGGTACTTAATATTGTATCTGTCACTTTTGTAACTCTGACCAAGAAGAGTTATCACTAAAAACATCAATTAACTCTCAAAATGTGTTATATTTAGATTGGCCTGAGTAATATGTGTTTTCTCTAAAATACCTTTAACTAAAAAACAAATGAATCAAATCTGAATGTGAGAGACACTTTTCATAATGAAGAAAGATCATATCCATCCAAACGTTGCCGTCAAGTTAATGAACAAACCGATTTATGGGGATTTAAGAACAAAGGTTCCCATCATGGCACCATCGGAGAACTTTGTGGCTTGTCAAAAGTATGTTTTCGGAAAAAAAAGGCGGTGGGGAGAAAAGTGGAAATGTCTGCTTGGAGTCGTGTTTGGTTCTGAGCAGCCGGTGTGGTTTGACTGTAGTTATGACAGCAAGTGACGGAGCTCTCAGAGATTTTAGGGTTGATGTTTTTCTTCGTTCATGTCACCAGAGTTTGAAACAATAGAACCTGACAAGCTCTGTTTTAGAAATTAGGCTGCCTGAAAGACCATCACCGCCAGCAGGCCATAAATGTTTCATGCGCTGCTGATATGGTAATCACAGGACGCCTACAATGACACCTTGTGAGAGTTGGATAACGATGGCTGTCTTTCAGGCCTGTGTGACTCTGGACGGGGTCCAACAGCTGAGGCACTGCCTGAAAAGTGGATCTGTGTGTTAACAATTGACCCCAAAAACCAGCTAAAGTGTTCATGTGACGACTAAAGCACAAGCGCACGTATGTTCCAGGCATTGAAAAGCTGTAAACTGTGATGCAGCCTGTTGCCATGCACATGTACAACTTTGACTTAAATACACATTTGGTTTGTGAGCAGGCCCAGGTGCCCAGTGGTGGCACAGGCCCAGCTGGAGGATGTGGCTGACTGGTGCCCAGGCTGGCATACTAACAGAGCCAGGGGTGCTTTCACAGTCAGTTGAAAGAGGCTGGTGCCGGAGTTCAGAGGCTCCAGCTCCAGCTGCATGTGCATTCGCTCACAGAGCTGAAGATACTGAAATTCAAAGTGAAAATACACAATTTCCCAGTGTGACAGGAATGCTGATCTCATGTCATTACACACAGCGCCGCCACCTTGAGCACATCTGCCTCTCGTTGCACACAGCGCTCTGAGACTTAACGCTGGACTGAAAAAGACATTTTCATACCACGAGGGATGAAGCAGGAAAAGGCCAACATGTCTAAAAGAGCTTAATGTGTCAGTTGTCTGTGGCTTGTTTAAGCCTTTTATGAAAGTGAAGCAATCTAGTCAGACACCTGTTGTTCAGGCGGGGGTGCAGGGGGGTTGTATTTATTGTCGGCCTATCTCAGCACGCCGTAATCCCCGGCTGGAACATGGCTGGATCACCACGGTGACCTATTCTTGGTCATCGTAATTTCCTGGGAGAGACTGTGGGAGTGTGTGTGAGGGGACGCGGGTCATATGTGCGGATGCACGTGTGTGTAGCATCTTTTTTTTGTGTGTGTGTGTGTGTCACCCGATGTCATGCAGCAGAAATCGCTTACCGGCGGTTCACCGGCAGGGAAAATTGGGATTTTATCTGTCACAGACAGGAAACGCTGCACATCTGAGGACACAAGAGCTTTTTTTTAGTGGTTAGAAGTTAAAGTCTGGCACTCATCAGCTTTCCTTGAATTCCAGTGTCTGCAGTTGGACCGTAGCCACTAATTGAGGCATGATTTCTTGGTATTGTTGCATGCCTGTGGTTTGGTTAAACCTCCCAGTTATTTTGGGATGAAGGTATTTTAGCATCTCTGTTGGTGCACAACGTTTGTTGTGATGACCGGGGATGTGTGACTTGAGTTATCATGGCTCCATGAACAGAAGGTGATGTTTATATGGAAATATGAGACAGATCAGCGCTTTTCAGTGACTTTTTGTGTGACATTAATGATGGAACAGGGACACCTACTGGCCAAACTTGATGCTAGAGAGATTTGCTGCAAACAATAAAACAGCTCATTTATTTCTTAACACCAAACTCATACTGTTCTTTATGTACAGGTGAAACTTAAAAAAAATTATATATATATATATATATATATATATATATATATATGGTGCAAAAGCTCATTTCAGTCATTTGAGTTTAAACTAATATATGAAATACTCATTACATGCAAAGCCAAATTTTAATGCTCATAATTGTGATGATGATGGCTTACAGCTTATGAAAACCTCACATTCACGATGTCAGACATTTAGAATATTGTTTCAATATTCTAGACTCAGTGTCACACTCCAAATCCACTAATGAATCTAGAACACCAGCAAATGATTCCTGAGCCTTTAGATGGTCTCTCAGTCTGAGTTGATTTAATGAAACACATAAAATTTTGCACAAAATTCTAATTTCTCAAGTTTCACCCATATCTTTTCCCCATCACATTTACATTGTGATTTTAAAAGATGAGTTGGCTCTTACAACGTTCACAATATTCCGATTTTTAAGTAAGAGTAAAGAAAGTCAATTTTGTTCATAAAATTACCAGATAAGCAACAATCCCACAGCATAATTCAGAGGGACTAAATAGAGCTAAATAATTTCTGAGTTACAAAAATCACAGATAAAAAAAAAGGATGGTGAAATCCAACCCAACTGGATTGGGATTTGTACCAAGTGTCATGATGCGAGTTAGGAGGAGGTTAGGACCCAAGATGAAGGAAACACCAGATGACACGAGGCAGGAGCAGTTTAAAAGTAAAATCCTTTTTATTAGGATGAGGAACCAAAAAAATCCAAAAAGGGCAGGAAGCCAAAAACCAAAGTCCTGAAAACCAGGAGAACGAAAGCTCACATAGAGCACAAACCAAGAGACAAGGCACAAAAGCTCACATAGAGCACAAAACAACTCTGACACAAAACAATGAGCTGACAACAGACAGAGGGTTAAATACACTGGGGCATGATGGGAGGCAGATGGGCTGCAGGTGTGTGGGGAGAGAGAACCAGGTGAAAGCAATTACTAATCAGGGAGGAAACTAACATCACCTAAGAGTAAAAACCTAAAGACAAGAAAAGCAGCAAACACAACTAATATTCTAAGGGGAAGGAAAACTACAAACACCGGAGGGAAAAGAACACACTAAAGAGACTAATAACATGAAAAGCTGAAACTATAAAAATTGCAGAGGGGTGACTGGGGAAGACTGAAGGAACACAGGACCTGGGAGAGATGATCTGGAGGGCTGTAGATCTGGGAACACATGAGGAAGACGTAGACAATGACACAAGAGGTCGCTATGATACACAACAGGAGAACCTAGAGAGGAATGGAGAACACAAGGGGACACATGAGGGGAGATGCAGACACAGACCATGACACCAAGTGAATCCCAAACTTCCCTAAAACCTGAAAGCAAAAGGAAAAAATAGTCGGGAGATTATTTAAACCCAGTTTGGGGACAGCCAGATGTAGGATTTTGTGTATTTTCTTTTTTCTGCATTGTTGTGCTTTAAAAAGGTAAAACATGAGGACTTTCCTCCTTAAATTTAAGTAAATTAACTGTCCTCAGCATGTTTGGCTTAATTTCCTTGCTTTACAAGGAAATGCTGTCAAATGTTACATACTTATTTACGGAGCTGCAGAGTAACAATTACTGAAAGCTGCATTAATGCATAAAATGAGGAGCAAAAAAACTGCTAACAATTTTCTGTATCTGAGGATTAAAAAAGGTTCAAAACAACATTTGTGAAAGGGGTCCGATGCTTTTGACTGCCCCGGGCCCCCAAACGGCTAAATCCACCCCTGGATTCAGGCGTGTTGAAGCCGAGAAATCTTTGAAACATGCTGGTTAGATAGATGTACCAGGATTGGACACCAATGACCCTAAATGACCATTTAAATGTCGTTAAAAAATGAAAAGATCAGCAGAGGGTGCTGTTCCTGCCCCAGCAGAGGATGTGTGACCTCCTTTGTCTGCAGACACAGACAATCATGGTTTGGATCTGTCATGAAACAATCCATACTGATGATAAACACCAGTTATTCTCTCAAATTTAATATTTGCATCTATAAAATATAAAACATCTAAGTAATTTAATCCAGAACACATTTTATTCCCACTTGAGCTAAAGAGAAACTGCTAACCCACTAAACACACGGATAGTTAATCATTCTGTGAATTATTCTTACAGTTTTAGGGTTAGGGTTATTTGTCAGTTGAGTTCTTGTAAAGAACACATGCATGCACTCATCAGCAACAAAAGTGATGACAAAACAACAATCTTTCATTAAGATGCTTTCTGCCTTATGTGTCCCGCATGACTCTGATTATAGGACATATTGGCTGGAGAACAAGTCATTTTTATGAATTTCAGCAGAAATGCTGCATAAATCCAGACCAGCTTTGTTGTATTTAGGAAAAAATGGACAAATTATAAATTTAAACTCCCAAAATTTTTAAATTAGGCTCAGATCTTGAATATGAAGCCACATTCAAATCCTGAATGAAATAATAAAGACATAATTACACAATAAAGTTTTATAATAACAAACATGTAACAAAAACACAATTTAGCGTTGTCCTAAATGTAGGTGTTTTTCATCCTCTTTTTGATGTATTTACTGAAGTTTATTGTATTCTATTCCTTTAATGAAGATATATTTTATGATATTTTAGGATTTTTTTTATTTATGCTCCTCAGAGTGAAACTTGCAGAACTGTCTGTATAAATAAGGTAAATCCAGAGTCACTAGACCTGATTAAAAGATGCTTTCTTGTCTGTGCCTCCGGCTCTGCTCCCTAACCCTAAAGATATGAATGACATTGCACCGAACCACCCAGTACGTCATGTTCCCTGTCACGGCCAATCAGAATCCAGCCTTCTTTGACCAACAGCCTAATCAACCAATGAAATTCTAGGAAGAGGCAAATAACCCTTCCATATTTCGATCGCATCCAATCAGGATCGTGTTGTAGTTACTAATTCATGACATTGCAAAGGGGAGTGACGCAGTTATTGTAGATCTGTAGGCACTCCATGCTTTTTTTCGTATGACCTAAAATCATTTTTTATTTTATTTCCTCCATTAAGCTTTGGTCATATAATCCTTCACACACAAAAAAAAAAAAAAACATCGAAGAAGAGGGTTTTCCGACGTCATCTCGGAGGCTGTATGTCGCATCCCTGCGCCCCTTGAATTCGGATGCCATTCCGGTTGGAGGTTGCGGTAGAACCCGAGGACTGGATGTGAGAACCAGAACGAAGCATGCCGCAGCCCAAGTCACGAAAGATCGCCATCCTCGGGTACAGATCCGTAGGTGAGTTCCCGGCAGGCGACGCGGACGAGGACGCGACTCTCCGGCGTCACCGGGACGCTCGGAGCAGATGTCAGCGGCCTTTAGGCTCTGCTTAAGCCCGTTATTGGGGCGGTTTACGGCTTCGGTAATGATCGGGATCGGTCACACGCAACATCAGAGCGAATCAGCGCCAGCACCAGGTGAGACGTGGCCTTCGGGTTTCAGTAGGCCTCGCGCGCAAGCTCCACAGATCAGGGCTGACTGGTCTTACGGATAGGTTTCCATCAGTGACCCTAACCCCGGAGCCATTAGTCCGACCCATGCTCTGTGCAGGCCCGGCGGCTCAGTGGATGTGGATGTGAGGCATCACTGCCGCATCAGCAACCAAAGATGCGCAATTTGCGCGCGTGGGGATACGGATGAGGCAAGAAATATGGCACACAAATGGAGAGCATGATGCCCGCCTGCTATTTCCATAGAGACCGTGTGTGAAGCTGTAATGCAGCATCACGTCACCTGAAGCTCAACGTTCATATGTTGAATCCAGATTTCGATTCATTGTTTTTTTATTATATTTTGCAGGAAAGTCTTCCTTGACGATTCAGTTTGTCGAAGGCCAGTTTGTGGACTCCTATGACCCAACAATAGAAAACAGTAAGTGTGGGTTTCTTAGGCTCCTATCTTCCTGAATCTAATTGAAACTCCAATTGTATAGATAAAAATAGTAGATTTTTCTGTTATTTGCTTAGAAATTGCCATAACGCATTTGCCTGACTATTGTTCCAACATTTATGATGGGATTTAATAAAGGTAGGCAGCCATTTATCAACATGGGCTTAATTTTTGTCAAAAAGTGATAATATATGTTTAGAAATAAGATGGGGTTCTTGAAGAGGTTTGATTTTATAATTATAAAGAGTTCTTCAGTTTTGCTCATTTTCTCCTTTATAGGATGGAGAATCTACAAGCTGTAATATTATTAATGAAGGTTATGAAGTCAATAAATTATAGGAATAGTTTAATAAAATCCATATTTAACCTTGTGTTTTGCACCAAAAACGAAGGTCATAGCTTTCAATGCTTTCAGCTTGTTTAGTTTCTTGACTAGAATTTGTTTATTTTTTAAATTCAACATATGTAATGCATGAAACCTGGAAAATCATGGGGAATTCCACAAATCCAGATTCTTTCCTAGATTTTTCTGTAACCAAAACAGTTAAGCTCTCATAAAGTAGAATTTTAGCTCAAATTATGACATTATTTGTGTAAAACGAATCATTGGGGTGAGTATTAAATGACCAAACTGTGACGAAATAAGTAAAAGCAACACACATTTAGGAAAATAAAAGCAGCTGCTGCAACAAAATATGAAATTAAACCAACAAAAAAGCCAAAATACTTGTAAATTAGATCAACATAGTCATAGCCAGATGCTATTTAAATAAGAGGATGCACGTATTTTAAAATATATGTGTTTAAATGTTAAAATCCTTTACTTTGCACCTAAAGCGGAAACCAACCACATCATTTATTAGTACTATTATTATGCCTGATTAAGTTAATTCTACATAAATGTTAAACAACAAGCTTTTAGGTGTAATGTTTCCAACATTGAACATTAGTCTATAAACAATGATGCAGAAAAGGGTTTTATTACTATCTGAATGAAAACGAGAAAAGGTACAAATTGTTCCAAATCTATAAAAGCTATCAAAACAAACCACATCCAAGTTCTGTTCTGGAATAAACAAAAGTAAAACCTTACTCCTGCTGTTCATGCGTCTTTTATTTTATTTAGTTAGATTTATCAGCCAAGGAATCGCTCATCTACTGTCTCTTATTTTGAAATTGCACCTGCTCTGGAGCAGATCTGGTTTCCAGCTTAAGTTTTCACATCGATACACCCCGCGGTGAGACTGAAAAAACAGATCTGAACCTGAAATTTTCTTGTCAAGACATCGATCCGGCTTCCTGTTTCACTCCCCTGGAGTATTTTAGGAGATGTGGTGGCCTGTAAACATCGTCTCTGGGAAGATTCTGGGATGGTTCATGATGAGTAAATGATTTAACAAGTAAAGAAGAACAAGACAGAATGATGTTTGGTGGGTTTTTTCTCTCTCCTTTGAAATCACATTTCTAGTTTAGCATCAGGACCAATCAGTCTGTCTGGGGAGATTTTTACATCTTTGCTGTGGCAGAACGTGCTTTTATTTTGGGGTAAATATCCTAAATCGCTGATTCAAAATGACGCAGAGAATTTCAGAAGCCGAATAAAATGTGGGCTACAGAAATAAAAAGTTGCCTTTTTATTGATTTAACCCTATAATACAGAGGTTGGCAAGGTTACTTGTTTATGACCCTACTGGTTTACAGGTGAGACTATGAAGGAATTAAGTAAAGAGGTTCTTCACTGAGAACCCATTTCTGGTTATAATCAGTCACTCTTGACATTTTCATGCAGGCTGAACATGAAAACAGTCTCCTGCAAATATCTCCTGCCTTAGCTTCTGATAGAATATAAACAGTAAAACTCGAGGATTTGAAAATCCTGACGTCACACCGTCACTTAGCATTCATGGACTCACCCTTCTTGATTCACGACGAGGAAGACTGTTGTTGGATTAGCGTCCAGGAAACAGCAGAGAACGTCTCGGCTAGTAGAAGCTAACCATTAGCATTAGCACCTCCACCACACAGCAGAACTTTTTCAGGCTTGTGTTATTTGTGGAGAACGTTGCAGAGCAAACAGAGGGTATTTCTTATTGTCAAGGCACCTGGCCTTGCCAGGCGATGTTTTGCGAAGCCAGGTGCCTTGCTTACGAGGACACTGTCCTTCCTTGGTCAAAGAAAATTGTTAAATGGAACAGACTTGCATCACATGACCGTGGCTGTCACCTAACGTCACGTGACATGGGAGATAACATTATATTTTATATATATAAGTTTCAATATAAATATATAATGAGCCTTTTACTTTTATATTTGTGTATATATTTATTCAATTAAATATGTAAGCAAGTTACTACCCGCTAGCCACCGAAGCTGCAACTACTAAGCAACAAACCAACTATAGATAACTTCTTTGGATCTAAAAAAAAAAAAAAAATTTAAATTAGTTGAATTACTTTTAAACTTGAAATTTGCTCCCGAAGTAGCTGCCGGCTTCTGACCCGCCATCCTTTAGAAAATACCGCGCTGTATTCTGGGTAATTTTTGACCAAGGCCAGGCTGTACGGCACCTCTCGTGTATTGTTCAGCTAGCTAAATGGCTACAAATAGAGAACACACGCCTCGGTAGAACACGAACATTGGAACACGTCTTGGCGGCTCCTGATGACGTATCTCCTAGGCAACCGGGGCGAGACCAAGACATCAAGGAGAGGTTCCTTGGCATTGAGAAACACCCCGAGTCAGTGGTAGAGTCATGTAGCTGTTAGCTAATGTTTATGTTTATTCATTTAGCAGACGCTTTTATCCAAAGCGACTTACAATTTATAACCTATAGGGCATGTTGTGATCTGTGGGGGAAACCGGAGTACCCGGAGGAAACCCACGCATGCATGGGCAGAACACGCAACTCCACGCAGAAAGGCCGCAGTCGAGTTTCGAACCTGCAACCTTCGTGCTGCGAGGTAACAGTGCTAACCACTGCACCTCCATGCAGCCCGCTAATCAGCTAATCAGAGGAGAGATGTCTAAATTTCAGGAAACAAGTCCTGTCTTCTTCTGCCTTCTTCTCCTCCAGCTGACTTCTAAGGCCCAATCCCAATACTTGCACCCTTGCATCCTTCATTTGCGCGTTCCCGGCCAGGGGTGCAAGTGCGTAGGGTGTCCCAATTCTCAAGTGCGGAAGTTGACCACGCCCCCATTGCACCCTTAATCTGCAATTCAGTTGATGCTCTAAAAATTTTAGACAAAGCAGAAATAAATGTAAATTTATTTGAAATAAGTTTGGTTGTTTGTTTGAAAGTTGTTACAAAGGTTTTGAAAAAAGTATCACAGCGAACAGCATCCCGGCATCCATTGCGATCGATGACACAATGCTCCCTGTCTCAATTCTGCAATTATTTGCACTCTTGTGTACTACGCACTCAAACCCTACTGTGCACTTTCTCCAAGTGCACTTTGCTGAAGACCGCAGGGCGCAGTGTGAGTATTGAGATTGGGCCTACGTCCTTAACTCAACTGTCAGCCGTTTCCTGATTAGAAAGCCCCGGACTGCCAGCGCTTTTTTAGCATTTTACAGTTTTTTTGAAGAGTCACAGAACGTTGCACTCTATGATGATGATGTCAACGCCAAAACTACGAAAACAAAGAGTAGACTCACTTCTTACATCAGGAGGAATCCGCGTGTTTCTAGCGTCATCCACTCTTTCATAATCTGTTGTCGAATTGTGAGCGGCAGAAGCTTCTTTCACAGCAGCGGCCCAAAACGATTTCCTAATACATGGATTTTCTGCTTCCTGATCACGTGACGTGTGACGTACACAGATGAAGATCAGCGGGGGCTCGTTCAGACGCCTGCCCAGTTACAAAAAATGCAATTGACAAATGGCAGCAAATGAGTTTAAAAGGCTCACATGAGCTTTTTTCCACCAGTCTACGACTTACAAGGCGTTAATTCTTACTAGTGAACTCTACAAATGTATTAAAATTGAGTCAAGGACCTTTTTAAGGTGCCTTTTGGATCATAAGCTTTGGAAGTGCAGTGATTGCTAAAGTTATAGATTATTTGTGGCAAAACTGACTAAACTAACCTTGACAGGTGTAGAAATGACTGAAGTTGGCAGAAAATACTGAAAAGAGGCAAAAAGACGATAGAAGAAAAATAAAACAAAATTTTAAAACCAAATTTTATAATAAAAGAAAATGTCTGAATAACAGCAAATGATGCCAGGAGACCGTCTTCATGTGTAGAAGTGGCAAAAACAAAATCAGATGCTTTAAAAGGACAAGCATACATATAAGGATCAGTTGCTGTCATTTGGATGATTTCCTTAAAAAATGAGCCCACGAACGTCCAGGAGTTGGATGTTTTCACGGTTTAAATATCATTCCAAATGTAGCTCCTGGTAATTCCATATCCTTCGTACGGTTTGTGTGAGAGATAATGATTGGCAAGATTCACCCACCAGGGTGCAATGTCCCCTTCAAAATAAAGTGTTGAAACGCCCCGATTTCCACACGTTTAAATAGAGTTTTTTGTTCTCTAGAGAAATAATGTTGCATTTGATCGGAAAAAAAAACGTTTTCTCTGACTGGTGCCTGCGTTGACTCCTTAGAAAGGGAACGTCGCTGAGAGGCTCTTTGGAAACACTTTTTTATTTCTGTATGGCTGCTGGAAACATACAGTACCTCTTCAGCACTCTTAGCACTCCGTAATCCCAGACACTCCAGAGGTCTGGGTCTGAACTTTACCTGCAGGCTGTTTCTCATTTCCCTGACACGTTTGCTCACATACACCACCCTGCGTTGGCTGTGTGGTCTATATCTATATATAATCGCTGGATGCTCAACATGAAGTGGCGTCAGCGTTATTACCGAGATGCTGCAGGATCTCTCTCTCTCTATCCCCTGTGATGGAGAAGCAAACTCATTTCCAGACAGATATTGACAATCCTGCACTGGATGAACTCAGTGGCACCAAACCGGGTCTAAAAATGTCCCGAAGTGTTCTGATAAACGAGGAAAGAAATGCAGGCTGAACATGAAACATGAAAACGTGCAAAGAAACATGTTTGGATAAACTTCCTCTTCTTTCTCTGTTCTTTTAAACACAGCGTTCACTAAAATGATCACAATAAATGGACAGGAGTACCACCTTCAGCTTGTAGACACAGCAGGGCAGGTACGGCTCCCTTACACTCCATCAGCCTGTGACAGCTTGATTGAGATTTATGTAAATATTGGATTTACCAGTGCTTTATATTATTTTTTTCTTTTTCCAGGATGAATACTCCATCTTCCCACAGACTTACTCCATAGACATCAACGGTTACATTCTGGTCTATTCTGTCACATCTAATAAAAGGTGTCTTATAGGGGGGGGGGGAAGCTTCTTGAAGGCTATTTTTAAGTGTTGAAGCAGTAAAAATGTGCTTGTATAACGTCTTCTCTTCTTTCTCCCAGCTTTGAAGTTGTTCAGGTTATCCATGAAAAATTGTTGGACATGGTGGGAAAGGTTCAGTAAGTATCTGGTCTTCCTTTGTTTCACTATCCAGGACGTTTGTAGTACATCATAGACAAAATAACATCCTGGCCTTTTTGCTTTCCTCCTTACTCAGAGTTCCAATTATGCTGGTCGGAAACAAGAATGACCTACATATGGAGCGGTACGTCCTGCCACACTCTGAAGCTGGATTTCATTATGTTTTTATCAAATGTGCACGTAGGTCAGAGCACCAAACGCCCTTGTTGACTCACACACGCCTCAAATGAATGCAGAAAATGTTTGGATCAGGCTGTGATGCCTTTATTTCTGCACACACACCATGAATTTCTGCTTATTTCCACCTGCTTTTGAATAATTTCAGAGTAATCAGTTGTGAAGAGGGGAAAGCATTAGCTGAATCCTGGAACGCTGCCTTCATGGAGTCCTCTGCTAAGGAGAACCAGGTAAAAACAAAGTTTCTTCAAATGTTAGAAAAGTAAAATCTGTTGTGTTTATAATTGAGATGCAAAAAAAATCACATTTCTTGTGTTTTTATGATTGGTATGTGAGCAACTAGTTGAAGTTTTGATTGGATTAGAGCTCTGAATCTTGCACTGGGTTGACTGATCGCTTTAACGAAGCTACAGGCTCAGCGGTACGTCACGCTACCGCGCCTCCACCACAAGAGAGGAGAGCAGGGTAGCTTCTGTTTACCACTCCCCATGTTTTCCACTTGTCCTGGGCATCTGTAAAGGCAGAAAGACGTCACACTGATGTTGCTCACATGAGCAGTGGGCATTATTATACTCCAACCATCCGAATGGGTGTGTACGTTGACGTCAATCTGAATGATGATCGGACAAAACCACCTCTGGGCCGTATCACGATTTAGACCTATTTTTCACCAGTTTTCATTATTCTAGCAAAGAAACAGACCTGATGCACACAGCTGGGCAGAATAGGGCAGTTTTATTAAATTTCATTCAAGGCACATATGTTTATCCTATGTACTCTAATGCTTGAGAGGCAAAAGACACAGTAAGTCCAAAAGTTTGATAAATGAAACATTTTACGCTTTTCAGTGTTTTTATGAAACATGAAACATAAAATGTTTTGCAAAAGAGGCCAGAACGGTTATTATAGCTCCAAGTTCACATTTCTTTACAAAACTCCCCAAAACAGCTTTCTGCTGGTGGCAGAAGGACAGTCTGCATTTAGTGAGGACAGCCAGTTTGCTGCTAAATGAAACAGCCAATCGTAGTAGAGCCTTTCTAGTCAGTCAGAGGCGAGAAAGGCAGGATCTTCCTTGGACATCCTAGAATTCAAAATGGCATGCCCTGGGACTGGGAGATTGGGGTTCAAATCCCGGTCGAGTCCTACCAAAGACTTTGACACTCATCTTGAAGGGGTTGGATTGGGGGGTTAAACTCAGGTTAAAATGGTTCCCGAGTGTGTGTGTGTCTGCAGTCAAATACGGAGAACAAATGTCACACCCACCAGTGTGTGTGACGACTAGTGGGACTTTAACAGCTCTGTTTGAATCCGGCTTTAGATATACGCCTAACCGAGTGTTAGATGGTGTTTTTTATTGTCATATTTGAGGACTTTGGAGTACATCAACAGTTCCTGAGCCGTGTTTTACTCCTACTATACACTACATATAAGAGCAATGGCCCAGATTTCTTTAGTCATCACCGTTTGTTTTTTTGTCAAAACTCTGCAAATCATACAAAAAATTGATTCATCCATCCATTTTCTAAACTCGCTCATTTACGCAGGGTCACAGGGGGCTGGCGCCTACATCTCCAGCAGTCTTTGGGCAATAGGCAGGCTTCACCCTGGACTGGTTGCCAGTCCATCACAGAAAAAAAAACCCAGATAAACAAAATAATTCGCCTTTTATTTTGTTTTTTGTTTTTTTTGTTTCCCTGATTTCTAAAGAGTGGATTTATCATTCAGTTGAATACCACTAACTCCACCCCTAGCACAAAGCGTTAAAGTTCATAATTCAGTTTTCTTGATGACTTATTGTAAAGTTTAAGGATCCAAAATTCAGAGAAGGAGATGTCCAATCTTGGTCCACTAGGGCCACCATCCTGCATATTTTAGAAGTTTCACTCCCTCAACACATCTGATTTTGAAAACAAAAAGCTGCTGAATGCTAGGTACCATTTCTGCAGGCCTACTTTTTACCTAATGTTAGGTGCTGGAAAATCTTAAAAACACACCTTAAAGTTGAGCGTGATTCCCATCCCCTACAGTGTGCCGAAAGTGCCCTCGGGCAAGGCTCTGTACCCCTTAATGACCCTGTTTATCTGCATATGAATTAGAAATTAAAGGTCTACATATAGGGTGCACATAAATAATAATATAAATGCCTAAATGTGTGAATGCCCCTTGTCCAAGTTACACAACAATAATAATGAATCTAATAAATGGAACACTTGGAGTGATAAGACTGCACTAGTTGGGCTCAGCACTTGATAAGCTGTTAATTAGCCACTATTTGCTGTAAAAAGTTCAATGTATCAACTATTTTAAGCAATAAAACAAGTGAAAGATTAATTTTGTTCAAAGTTTATTATGCTTTCTCTTTGATCATGTGGTTTGAACTTGCGTCTTGCGTTTGGAGTCTGTTTCAGTTCCTGTGAGGCAGTGGCGACCAATGAAATATTCCTGCACCTCAGTCCATAATAAGTATTTAAATGAAATTTGGAAAATGACTTCAATTCCAAAACAATCATTAATTTCCCTTCTACAAATGAGCAGTGTTTCAGAAAGTCAATTATATGTATATATGCATATATAAATGCAGGCACGGATAAAATAAAAATGGTTTTAATGGCAGAGCGGGAACAACAGAACAAAACAACGCTGACAACAAACAGTGATTCGACAAAGACTCAAACAAGTTGGGAGGTATAAACACTCAGGGAAACAATCAGGAACACATGGGCGGATAAACACGGGGCAGGTGAGAACAATAAAGACTAATCAGGCAGGGGGGAGACACAGTCAGGGAGGCAGGGGCAGATTGTGACAGTACCCCCCCCCCCCCCCCCCCCCCCTTCTTAAGGGGCGGATACCAGACGCCCACAAAAGCCACATAACACTGGAGACTCGGGACACTTGCACTTGGGAACCGGAACACTTGAGACGTCGACTTGGGAAACAGGAATACTCGGACTTGGAACAGGAACTGGAACACTTGGAAACTGGAACACCCGGAAACTGGAACAGGAGAATGCAGCAGCAGGTGTGGGACCCTGAAGAGGCTGCAGCAGCAAGCGTGAGACCCTGAAGAGACTGCAGCGGCGGGACTCTGAAGAGGCTGCAGCATGGAGGACCTGCAGGCGTAGGCCCCGCAGGCGTGGACCAGGAAGTTGCTGAACTGCAGGAGCGACGCGAGGAAACCCAGCTCGGTGGCAGGTACTCAACAAACTGTCTGAGCAGGTGCACATCACGATACGCTGGGTCACAGGCAGAGGCTTGGGTGCAGGGAAGCAGAAGAAGGAGTGGGGAGACCAGCTTTACCACCCTGGAGAATGATGGCATGCGTAGGGGGTTTTACTTCACCAAAACCCCAGGATCCGCGGCTTCTGTTGGGAAAAAACAGGACGGGGCCGAAAGCAGGAGAGGAGAATGGGTTCGACCACCCCGGGAACAAATAGGATGCGCCGAAACCCCCTCAATGAGTACGACCACCCCGGAAACCGGTAGGATGCGCCGAAACCCCTCGAGTCGGAATCTCCCTCCGCTAAATGGAGAAAAGGCAAAAAAAAGTAATCCTCCAGGCAGATGCTTAGAGCTCACCACAGGTCCAGGTTGGTCGGATCATTCTGTCATGTTGTGGGTGTGGATGGCGGCGGACCATGTGTGGAGGAGCTGACAGGAGGCAAAAATGCAGGCACGGATGAAATAGAAATGGTTTTAATGGCAGAGCGGGAACGACAGAACCAAAACAACGCTGACAACAAACAATGATTCGACAAAGACTCAAACAAGTTGGGAGGTATAAATACTCAGGGAAACAATCAGGAACACATGGGCGGATAAACACGGGGCAGGTTACAACAATAAAGACTAATCAGGCAGGGGAGAGACACAGTCAGGGAGGCAGGGGCAGATTGTGACACCCAGAGGCATTCAATTCACAGATGCTGATTGGCCCAAAATTCTCCAGTTCACCCTAGCAACCAAATGTGATTGGCTGTTTAGCTGCAGTCCAGGGGCACTTTTCACCGTGCCCCAGGAGTGAAACTAGAGTCTGGTGGAGAAAATTCACTGTTTATTGAGACAGTTGGTGAAAAATTATATGTAAATCATTGCATGTAAGCACATGCAATTAAACAAATGTGACACATTTATAGGAAATATATGAATATACATTGTGGTTTTATTTATTTGTATATTTTCCGCACATGAAGCTTCAGTAAACCCACCTGAATGATTAGAAGACATTTTCTGAAATCTGCAGTGTCTGATATAAGAAGAGCTGCAACAGCCTTCGTGCAGTTATTGTTGCACTGCTACAGTCAATAATGCACATAAACAAGTGAGTTGTTCTGACTCACAGGATGTTGGACCACAGCTGCACCCCTTTACCAGATGCCTTAACCAAAGGATTGTGTTGTTATCAACGACGCTGCGGCTACACTTGTGTAACATTTCCGCTCTGCACCATATTTCTTGATGAGACGGACTTTTCCATTCGTTTTGATGCATCAGCTGTTTAAGAGCGATTGGCTTGCAGTGAATTTAGTGGTCACCACTCTCTTATATTTCACTTCAGCCGGCTCCAAGGCACTTTACACAGCTGCGCCTATGTGAACTAAAACAGCAGGTGTGTTCGAAGACGCCCACTCGGTCTTTGTTCTGAAGACCCACCGCTTTGCGCTCTTCATGTCTCCGAAGTCTTTTCTGCCTTCGAGTGGACGGAAAGGAAGCGGCTCAAGAGTTCATCTTCCACAGCGTTTTGTCTTGAAAGCAGAGGTGTGAGGTGTGAAACTCAGCAACAAGAAGACAGATTTACATATAACAGAACACCAAATTTTATATTTTTTCACAGAAATGAAATCAAAATGCAGACACAAAAGGCCTGGCATGGCTGGAAATAATGTAAATTACACTGACTCAGAATTTTATAAAAAGAAAAAAAGTTTTCAATCCATTTTTTTGGTCATATTTTGTTTGTGATCTCACTTGATTTCACACAAATCATATACTTTTTATTTTGTCTTTGCAAAGTTAATTTTCTCAGTGTATTTGTATCAATAGTTATTCAGTTGCAGGTGCGTGCCCAAGGAAATCTCTGAGAGGTTACTTAAAGAGCAAGTCACCCTCATATCAACTTATTTATTGATATACTGTATAAGTGAGTGTCTTTTAGACAGGTGTGGTCATTATTTTGGCATTTTTGTGCATCTTATTTAAAAATATAAAGATTCAGCCTAAAACTGTTAGTGTGGCGCCCTCTTTGGGTTGAACCTCTGCACCGTTTGAATCAGCCAATGCTATTGGCCAAGTGGTTATACGTGATGTTAGCCAGTGCCTGAGACCTGTGAGTTATAAAAGCAGCTGAGTCTCAGCCGTGCCTCCATAACGAGTTGGAGTTTGAATAGAGAGCGAGTTTTTATCATTTCACATGTCAGCAGCACCGAGGGACGAACAGGAAATGTGGGTGGAGTAATCCCGACTTCACACTGGAGGCATCAGCGGGGCGGAACGGCAGCGGAACGGTTTACTTGCATGCCTCGCTGCGTATCAATCCACACTGGGAGAGTCTCAGCTGGGGAGCGGCTTCTCCGCCATCCTCCTGGCTGGACTCGCGAGATCACAAAACCCCTCGATCCTGTCACGGTTTGTTTATGCCATCCGCCATTAAACCAACAAGAAGGAAATTATGTTTGGTAAAATATTTAAGGTTGTTCCTCTCCACTGCCTGTATTAAAACCATGAAAACCGCATCGCTGCATTTCTCAGAACTGGTAGTAAATAAAGCCGTGAGGTCAGACGTAAAGATATAATCTACATAGATATGAAATAGCTGCAAAGTCTTTTATTTTGAAAATCACCAGATGTTTTACACTAGAACCATGTGTGATTTCCTGCCTAACCCCATGTTAACTGCAGAAATTGACGAGTCCCAAAAGCAGCTTGCAGAAAAAATAGAACCCAGTCTTTCCTTTGGCGACGCGACGAGAGGCTTTTGGGACGTGCCTGAAAATTGGAATCAACCCCACAGACTGTAATGCAGGGTTATTCAGTTCCAGGCCTGGAGGGCCGGTACCAGCGCGCTTTGGTTTTAACCCTTCTTCAACACAACTGATCTCAATCAGCAGGTGATTAACAGGCTTCTGCAGAGCCCGATGAGCTGCTGCAAGTGATTCAACCACTGAATTCGTGTGTTGGGCCAGAGAAAGCACTAAAACATGCTGGATACCGACCCTCTGGGCCCGGAACTGAACAGGCCTGCTCTGCTAGGTTCTATCTGAAGCAACAACGTTCCGCTGCCGTTCCGCGCCGCTGATGCCCCCAGTGTCGGGGTAAGACTCTGGAAGGGGGAGACATGCTCTTTTAAATCCATCCTGTGGTTTATATTTCGCTAAAAGATAAATGGAGTTGAATTCAAAGGGTTTTGGCAAAGTTTAAATTCATACACAGTCAAGATGTATGCAAATGACTCTCAGATACCATGATTCAATGTTTTAACTCAAAATATGTCAAACTGACTTAGTTGTAGCCATTTTTCTGTTTTTTAGGGTCCTTTGGCCGTGGCGTCTACCTAGATTCAGGCTGATTTCAATAGTTAATACTTTTTCATTTAAATTTTTAAAAGATAATGTTATCATTTTGCATTCACTACCTCGTTGAAGTAATCAACAAAACAAATTTTCATTTTTGCTTTTAGGTTTTTTTGTTTTGAATATCAGCGACAGAGTCTTTGTTAAACTGTTAGTTTTGCTGTTGTTTATAATCCAGAGCTGGATGTTCAGGAAGTGCGCTAATCAGCAGTAAATCAAGTGTAGAACTTTATTTTATTTTATTTGGGTGTGTGTGTGTGTGTGTGTGTGTGTGTGTGTGTGTGTGTGTGTGTGTGTGTGTGTGTGTGTGTGTGTGTGTGTGTGTGTGTGTGTGTGTGTGTGTGTGCGTGTGTGTGTGTGTGTGTGGATAAATGCCTGAGATGTAGTGCATGACAGCATCCTTTGTGTGCTTCTTCCTCTCTCTTTCTCTCAGACTGCCGTGGAGGTTTTTCGAAGGATGATCCTGGAGGCAGAAAAGATGGATGGCGGCGTGCAGCCGGGAAAAACATCCTGCTCCGTGATGTAGAGCCGCCCAATCAACACACAGGACACTGCACTGGGAAATCCCGTTACTTGAAGGCTAGCCGCCAGTTCTCCTCCACCTCAGCTGACTCCACCCCCAGGGTCCTAAACCATTTATGGCTCTGATTCTTATTTATCAACATTTCCCATTCCCTTCTCGCATCCCTTTGTTTTTTCTTTGTATGTTTGATTAAAAAAAATATTGGAGTGGTGGTTTCCTTGTCTGATATTCCCATATTCTCTGTGCTCAGCACTGATGCAAGACCATTAAACAGCCGATGTATCAGGAAAAAAACCCATTCTTGTCTCAGAGATACTTGTGGCTTGGTGCATCTTCGCTTCTCGTTGTGCAGCTTCCATTTAGGCTACAGTTCCTTCTCTGGTTGAAGAACACAGGATGAGAGGGCCGCTGTGTGTGCCATGCATAAGAAAACAGTTGGAGCGTTTCTTCTGATACATCAGCAGCTGTTTGTGCCCTCTTTTCTACTCCATCACCTCGTAGTTCCCTTCTCTGTCCCTCAGTTAGTTTCATATTGGTTAATATCAGCCAACAAAAGGAAAGAAGGAAAGAAAGAAATCTGCATCCATTTTCTAATGTTGAAAATGTTGTACAAATGTTTTTAATTGTAATCATTAAAGCAAAAAGTGGTTATGTAAGCACGCTGGTTGGTGGATCCTTGTGGTTTTTGGTTGTCTTTATAGGCATCTTTAAATGATAATATCTAATGTGGAAAAAATGGCCAAAAGTACATTATGTATGTAAAAATGATGAAAGAGGTGCAGAATAAAAATCTAGAGAGGATTCAGATTCAGATTAAACCATCCATATATTTTGTTTTACTCGCTTATCCTTGCAGGGTCGCAGGGGGCTATCTCCAGCAGTCTCCGGGCAAGCAGGTGGGGTACACCCAAGAGACACACAAACAAGCACGCACACACACCTAAGGACAATTTTAGAGTCCAATCAACCTGACAGTCATGTTTTTGGACTGTGGGAGGAAGCCAGAGTACCCAGAGAGAACCCCTGCATGCACAGGGAGAACGTGCAAACTCCTTGCAGAAAGACCAGGCCAGGATTTGAACCAGGACTTTTTTACTGCAAGGAAACAGTGCTAAACACTGCACCACTGCGCAGCCCCAAAATAAACTAGTGCAGAATATTTCTTTCAGATCCAGCATTTACTGATTTCCTCAGCATTCCAGCGTCCCGCCCATACACAACGCGCTGCATTCATGAGACCTGGAGTTTTACGGAGTTAAAGAAAGCCTGAAGGGCATTTCGATCTAATAAGGACAAAAAAAAATTGGAATTAAATGAAAGCAATTCAATGGATGGGAGAAGTTTAAATAAAATAATGTTTGAAGACAAGTTTTTTCTCACATTTTTTATTCATTGAGGAATTTCAGTTATTATGTTTTTAATTAAAAAGCAACATCCTCCTGTTGGGAATCAGACGCCCGCTTGGCTAATTTGCCGTGTTTTGGGCATCATCTAAGGTGTTGCATTGGTCTTCAGCGCAACACTTGATCTTGATGTAGGCGTTGAGCCTCAGGAGTTTGCAGTCTGACATAGCCATGCACTTCTGGTAGTGTCCATCTATGAAAAGTGAAATAAAGCCTTGATTGTATCGTGCAAAAGGAATTCTTCATTTAAGGAAACCTAAACGACATTCATCATAAAATTTCAAGATTTCTTGAGACGTGTTACATGCATGTGTCATAAACATGAGATTTGAAAAATACGGCCGTGTTTTTCAGAAACTCACATGGTGGTGTGAGGAAACTTGCTGCAGCACACGCATCCTTCCCTGGTTTACACGTCTCCACGGTGATCTCGCACTCGTCTCCGGCCCTATTCGGGACGCAGCGATGGCAGCTCAGGGCCTCACCTGGAAACAGAAACAGCAAGGATGCCTTTCAGACAAAATTACTCTTATTTTAAAGTTTTTATGAAGAAACGTGGTTAAAACTGTTCAGTGTTAGAAAATATGGGCAATAAGATTGATGCCGTCTTCTTTTTGTTGTCCAGTAAGGTTAACAGCATGAGAAGGACCTGAAAGTGGACAGCCGTGCAGGTCAGCAGCAGGTTGTGTTGATCCAGTGGAGAATCAGTGACAGACTCACCAGCTGCAAACAGCAAGGCGACGATTAAAGCCAAGACCAGCACCTTCATTGTTCCGTTCAGAGCTGCAGCCTGTTCCAGATAGAGCACACATGTGATAACAGCTACTAAAATTACTAAAATCACACAAAATACAAGTGTGAATCCTTAAAATCAGCATCTTGAGAAGATCAAAGTGACACCTGTTTCCAGAAGGAGCCGACGAGGTCAAACACACAAGTGTTGATAACTGTGTTTGAACAGAATCTCACTGGTTTGTCTGCCAATAACTGAGGTGCATTCAGTGACCTTTCCTCCTTTTATACTTCCCCTTACTTTGACTTTCCATGGCAACGCCCCATTAAGGGTTCAATCTGTGTTAAGTCTATATACTCAGAACCTTACTCGCCCTAGTTACAATATGTTTCCCAATGCGTTGTGCAAGAACAGTCCGTTTGCAGATAGTAAAATATGCTTTTGTCTACGACTCAAATAATGATTAATATTAGCTGATATCAGTCGGAGGTGCAGGATATTTGCTTTGGGTGGATTAGGCCAAACCCAAATGTCCTGGTTCACCTTAAGCTCTCAAAGAAACGCGTTTTAAATTGGGCTTAATTTACGAAGATTGTAATGTGAGTCAAAAATAAACTCCTTTCTTTGGGCTTTTGTTGAGTTGAATGAGAACGTATTTCATTTGCATTTAATTATCCAGAAAACTGTGACTTTTTAGCAGCCATCTTTTGTTTATTTGTGGGATTTTTGAAGGAATTTCAAGTGCATTTCAAAAACATCAGTGATCGGTGTTGGTTAATAATTAGCATAGTGATTAAATTTAAATGTAGATGTAACACTTTACAATATGAGTCCTTTTACTTAGTGAGTTATTAAGCATTAATAAACAAAGGGTGCCTTAATTAATGTTACATATATTGTTAACTATTAAGTGTCCTTAGGGTCAGGACAAAGGGCCAGAGGGGCTCTGTTTAGTAATGCATTACATAATATGGTTAAGCAATTGGTAAAACTTTATTTGATAGTTTATTAATGCTTAATTATGCACTAAGTAATGTTAATAGAGGGACTCATACTGTAAGGTGTTACCTTCCATGTCAGAGCATCATTACGACCATTAAAATTCTCCCATAGGGAAGTTTATTCTTCCAAAGTCCACAGAAAAAAATATCAGGTAAAGTAGAATGAGCCAAATGTGGTGTTAGCAGGTCAGAGCTGTACAAGAATCCAACATCACCTCCAAAACCAGAATTAGTATCTCTCCAACAAGTCTTGGTCTGAACTGTTTGATTCCTGAAAAAGATTTCTTCTCAGCCTTCGCCAACAGTTCACAATTTTTTGAAACTCATTGGTGATTTAAACCTCAAAATTGGGATAAATACAAGCACCACACTGCAAAAAATGATTTCCAAGAAAGTACAAAAAGCCTAATTTTTAGAATGTTGTCTTGTTTTTGATCTAAAATGAAAAAAAAAAAGTCTTAAAGCAAAAGTTGCTTGGCTAGAAACTCAAAGCTAGCTAATTAAGTTAAAACTAGATTTCTAGCAAGCAACTTTCACATATCCCATTGGCAGATTTTTTTTCACTCAAAACAAGAATATTTGGATGATGTTTAAGAATATTGTCCTTATTTTAAGCAATGCTGTTTTTCTAGAGAAGATTTCCTTTTCTTTGGATTAAAAAAAATCTAAAAATTTGGCTCTTTTATTTTCTTAGAAATCATTTTTTGCAGTGCATAATGATGCTAACATAGAAAAAGATCATTTTCTGGCTGCAAATTTGCAGATGTTTTCAAAACCCTTAAATCCTTATAAGAGTTTAGGTAATTTGTTGTTATGTCATTTAAGAAGCTGTTTTTTTTATTACAACTGGTGAAAATAAGGAATGAGTGAGGTCGTACAGCGTGTTTAAATAAGCCGTGTTTTCTTTCTATCATCTCCCACCTGGGTTACCTTAAGCCTGGTGGAGGTTTGCTGTCATGACTGCAGTTTTGGAGCTTGAGTCTCTCCCAGATTTTCATGGGTCAAGTTCTAAATTTATCCAGGAATCCTCAGAGGGTCTGCAAAAGGGAAACAAAAGCACAAGCGGGACCCTGAAAGAAGTAGCAGGTGGAGTCGTCTGTTTTCATTTGGTGTTTGGGTTGCCCTGCTCAACCTTTCGTCTTACATTTCAGACGTAGACTAGTTGTTCGAGACTGCTTTGGTGCCATTTAGCTGCTGCTGCTAGCTGGAGATTATTTGAATAGTTCCTTCGTTTACTTCTGCTTTAACTGTCCCTCCTTTTGGTTGTTTTTCTTCTTATCTCCTCATCTGGACACAACCCAAATATTCTCCTGCAGCCCCCTCACAACGTCCAGCATCACTATCAAAGCAGAATCTTTCCCAGCCTTTTGTTTCACTCCCCTTTGGCAGCAAACTCCAATATCAGCAGTGGCACGTGTAAGGGAAACTGTCCATTTGGCAAAATGTCTAACCCCCCTTTTGTTGCGCTTTTGTTGCCTTTGCCTCGCCACGCCGCCACACTCTCCGTCAGCCGTATATATCTGGGAGCTTACCTTTTCCCACTCTCGAACTTTGTGAGTATTTTGGGGGCATTTAGAGAAGGAAAATGTCTCAGTACTCAGGAAAGGTGAGTATAAAGCAGCAATGAACTCAAAAAAATAGTCTTGATCATTTTTTAACAAAAATGTCACACGCCAGTCTGGAATTTAACAGTTTTCCCGAACGTGAACACAGATCGTGCTCTTTGAGGGGAAATGTTTCACAGGGAGGAAGCTGGAGCTCCGCAGCGACTGTGACAACTTCCAGGACCGCGGCTTCCTGAACAGGGTCAACTCTGTCCGCGTGGAGAGCGGGGCCTTCGTCTGCTTCGACCACCCAGACTTCAAGGGCCAGCAGTACATTCTGGAGCACGGCGAGTACCCTGAATTCCAGCGATGGAATGCCCATAATGATCACATGGGCTCCTGCAGACCAGTCAGGATGGTAAGAAGTGAAGGAGATCAGGGACTGGTATGTCTGGTTGGTGCACACTGTGGCCTGATTCGTTCACATCTGCTTGTCAAAGGAATCTTGATCGTATTAAGTTATTTTGCAGGAGTTGTGCATTTTAGAAACTGTATGGCAAATTCACAACCTTAAAGCACTACTTTAAATTCTGTCTGCACACACTCTGCAGCCTCAAAAAGAGGACAGTCTGGTCATTTGCAGAGAGGTGATGCTGAGCTCTGCTGTCATGACTCAGCGAGCATGTATGCCATTTTCCTCTCCAGCATGGAGAGCACTATAGGCTGGAGCTGTTTGAGGGAGACAACTTTACCGGCCAGTGTGTGGAGCTGTGTGACGACTGTCCCTTCCTGAACGCTCGAGGCCTGACCAAGAACTGCCTCAACTCCATCAAGGTTTACGGGGATGGCGCGTACGTACCTTGAGAACGCTTGACTGAATCATTTCATTGATCCTGATGCCTCAAATGCCTAAAGAGTGAATTATAGCATAAAATGTTGTCTTCATATTCAGTTGCAGGCAACATCAGTTGAACCTTGTGCCTCTCTGCAGGATGAAGAAACGTGTAGGACATGAGGAAAATCTTTCCTTGATTTAATTTAAATCCCAAAACGATTAACCTTGGAAAACTACAGTACTTGGAGAAAATGTGTCTGTGTGCACAATCATTCAATATTTTCAAAAGAGACATTAAATATGACTTTTGGAGGCCATTAAAAGTAATTTAAAAAGCAGATAAATAAATTAAAAATAACTCAATTCATGGCCTGTAGTCTTCAAAAGAATAACTTATTTTTGCCAAGTGTTTAAGGTATCATCAGGTATTATTATTAAGTCCTAACCCTTTAACTGGCTACTTGCTAAAGCATATTTTAATCCATAAAATATACAATAAAATAAAATAAAAAATACTAAACTAAACTAATTCCTAAACATACGGGGCAGTATGAATCAAAAGTTGATTATAAGGTTGCATTACTGTTATTTTAATATCAATACTTTTATTTCACATCACCCTACATTATAATATAACTCTTATTACCCCAAATGTGTAAACAATTCAAAAAATATATTTTCCCCAGTCTGTCCCCTAAACACACACTCATATTTAGATGCATAAATCGAGTCATTTAAAAATAAATATGCAAAACATCTGCTTTTATGACAGTTTGCCTCCAACATATTTAAAAGAAGATGCACTTTGTGTCAGAATGCTGCACGATTCAAGTTTGGTGCCAGCTAGCAAAACTAAACACCTTTGAGCCACTTTGGTGAAATTCTCACACTGAAAAGATAGTGAGCCGTAGTGCATTTCCAACAAACAACACATTCTCACTCCCAGCAACGGACTCAGCACAGGCCTAACCTACTTTTATGACTTGTCATGCTACCACGGAAACTTGGTGCACATTTACCAAAATCTGACAGAAAACTGCTACAAACTATTATTTCCTACAGAGATGTCATGAAGGTTTATTCAATTTGGATTTAAAAGAATCACTTCAGGTGGACAGAAGGGCTGCACGAGTCTTCAGAGACAAATTTTACCAACTAAATGATGATCTGTAAATATTTAAGTTGAATAAAGCTTGCCCAGAAGCTATAAGATGACCAGCAATGAGCAATCAGGAAAATATTCATGTAAGTAATTAGTAAATGGAGTTTTACTTGGTAATTTGTGTTTTAGTGGACAAATCTGAGCTCAAAGGTGCACCACTGAGTTTGTCATGCAAACACCTTTTCTTCTTATATTCATTCCATTTGCCAACACTTTTATTTAATAAAGGTTTAAGGCAAGGCAGCTTTATTTGTATAGCATTTACCATACACAGAGGTGGTTCATTGCCCTGTCCAGGAACAAGAACAGCAAAAATCAATGTGAAAACTTCATTAAAATGCACAACTAAATTTAGATCAAATTAAATTCAGATTTAAAAATCAGATAAAAGACAAAGTTAAAGGGTGAGCCATTACAGTGCAGAAGGTGCAGTGTAATTAACAATCACTCATAGGCTGATGAATGCATGAAAGTTTTAATTTAATTTAAACGTTACAGAGTTGAGGCACGTTTGTGTAGAAAAAGGGTTTGTTTATGTATCGAACTTTTCTTGAAGTTCTCAATTGGAGCTATATTATTTTCAAATCAACATAAACATGACTTTTTGTGATTTGATTTGCAGTAATCAGCACGTGCATTTGTTTTTATTCACTCTCCTATCAGCTGGGTCTTATACGAGGAGCCAAACTACCGAGGCCGCATGTACGTCGTGGAGAGAGGAAACTACTGCAGCCACAAGGAGTGGGAGGCGGAGAATCCCACGGTCCAGTCCGTTCGCAGGGTGGCAAACTACTTTTGAAGCTACCTCCCAGTAAAACATCCTCTCTTTGACTCTGTGGGGCCATTAAAAAATAAAACATGCAGAAAATGTTTGATGCTGCTTGTTGTTTTATTTCTGTACTGAGTTATTCCAAGTTTGAAATAAAGTAGTGATCTTTCTCCTTCCCATGCTTTTTTATACTCGTTTTTGAGCTCGCACCTTGTAGTTAACCATAACGTTTCATTGTGGAAATGGCTACAGGGCCATGATTCAGGCAATTGCTTCCAATTCTGCTCCATAAGTAGCAAACCTTTAAGTGCTGTGCTTTTCCTCACACTAATGGATCCATTACTAAGTTATAGGAGACATTTTGAACTCCGCTGAACACAGATTAATAGACACGTGTGTGCTTTGGTGGTGCCGGAAGGCAATTAAAAACAAATCATACCCAATAATCAACAAAAGAAAATGTTTCAAATGAAAACACAAAGCCTTTCGACACCCACACAGGTGAATTTAGCAGCCTCAAACGAACAAGGGAAAGCGTGTGTCAACCCCACATGAAGAGTTTAAATCAAATGTGAAGGGGAGATGTTGCACAGGTTGACATGCACCTGCCCAAGGGAGCTCTGCTACCACCTAGTGTCATTCATCTATTTTACCACGTCACTCACCTGATGTCACAGGGGTGCTGCTACGAAGCTAAATCTACTTGATGATTGGAATCCAACAGATTGCTTCACAAACTTGTAAAACTTAAGTGAAAATGCCTTAAAAGCTGTGAAATCAATGACTTAAACCGTTTTAGAAGGAGAACTTGACAGAAGCTTTTAAAGGTACGAGGTTCAAGGCTGAACCATAGTGATGAAAGGAAGACTGCTCCTATTGCAGATGCTTCACTCTAGAGCGTTCATGCTGAAGGTGTTGTCTTTCAAAATCCTTCAAGTGAGAAGAAAATTCTATTTTAGGAAAAAGATTGTTGTCTTGTAGCACCTTTTAGGGACGGTCTTTGGAATCGCCCAGGTCTGACCAAAATTTGGTTGAATTGTCAGTTTTTCAACAGGTGCTTTAAAGAAGACATTTAATGATTTATTTAAAGTTGTCATAGTTATGTGGTCATTATAAAGTTATTGGCTCTTAATCCCTCTCACATAAAGCAGTTTCATTCCTGACAGTTTCATTACCTTCCTGAATGAGTCAATTCAGATCTCTGTCACTTTAAGAAACAAAATGTTTCAGGCCCCGCCCACCCATCCCCTGCTTGAAGAGCAAATTGCAGGTTAGAGACTCCTATGAACCACTGTTTAGAGAAACAAAACAACAACAAAAAAAAACTCGTTTTAAACATTTTTTTTACACATACATAAATTATTTAGGCTTTTAGAGTCATTTTTGTGAGATTTTTTTTTTTTTGCCAAACCAAGTGATGTCAGCTGAGGGAGTCCTGTTAGCTTAATCCAGAGAAAAATATGGATTCTAATGCCGGTTCTGACACAGAGGAAACTTTAAATGTTTATAATTCTACCTATGATGGACAAAACCATAAAGTTATGAGTTTGCTGCTCACCCCAGAGAGCAGAGACAAACCAGAGGGAGAAACCATCGACCAAAGCAGAGAGATTGAGGAGAACAACGGGGGAGCAGCAGGTAAGATAACGATGTTAGCTTAAACTCGTGTGCTAGCATCACAATATTGTACAGATTACTATCGTGTACCAGACAGTTAAAGTAGTATCAGTCAGTTAATATAATATTAATACTAATGAGTGTCTGTCAGCAGTCTCATACGCATTAATATCCGTTCACGTAACGTAGTTTAGCACTTAGAGAGAGGGAGAGAGACGCCTGTCATCTGGTTCTGGAGCTCATGCGGGCTTCTGTGAGCTGGATCTGACCCAGACACCAGTGAGCCAGCCGAACTGGTATTTTTAAAAGCCGTGCATCATCTCCGGGTGGTCCAGGAAGTGGTTCTGATCCGGTTCCGACCCACTGAGCAGCACATCTCTTCTGGTGGTCGGTTCTGGCCTGTTTCTGACGGTGATCTGAGTTCCAGAAATCCACATTTAAAATTTTAAACCCTTCCACGGGTCTCCGGAGCCCAGCGCGGACCTCCCTTCCCCTGTATCGACCAATGCGGGCTACAGAAGTCCGTCTTTTCAGCTGCACAAAACACCCTCAGACACGGAGATAGAGGTGTCGTTTCTCTTATCTGGAAACCCGTGGACTCGATGTCTGGACAGGCTGGAGTTGGTACAGCCTTCACAAACTATAGTTTATCAAAATGAACACAATCCAAAACTAGTAAACATACACACTTACTGGATAACATGACCTCTCTACCCTAAAACTACCCACTCTCCACACTGAGCTGAGGCAGCGCCTAGCTTCTAAGTCCCTTAGGTAACGTCAGAGGTTCAGATTTAGAAAAAAGAGCCTTTTTAGAAGCTTTGCTGAGAAAGGATAGTTTTTACTAGAAAAACTGTGCTGTTATGTATTTTTAAACGAAATATCTACAATAAGCATATCAAATAGAATGTTTTGAATATCATTTTATATGAATTAGAAAAAAAAATGTAACCTGCAATTTGCTCTTTAAGCTGCTATAAACTCAGAATATCTCTGCACACGAAAGGTGGTTTTATGGGACTTTCCTTATTTGTGACATCACAAACGGAGAGTTTTTGAAATGATTTGTTTTAGGCGCATCATTCCTAAAGTCAAACACTGAACTAAAACAAATGAAGGTTTTGTTTTTAACATTTGGAGATTCACGCGACAGCACAAGAAAGATGCAAAAGATGAGTTTGTATAAAATGTTGTCAAACGGTGATAATACTGTAAAAGATTGTGTTTTTGTTTTGACAGAACAAGTGTCACAGTTTTGTTTTTGTCTGTTTCTTTTCTCTGAAAAATCTATCTGATCATAATTTATTTGAAGCAATGTTGCTTTGCAGTAAGAAGGTCACAAGCTCAACACCTGGCATGGTCCTTTCTGTGTGTTCTCTTTGTGCATGCGTAGCTTCTGTCTGGGTAAAGTTTCCTCCCACAGAACAAAAAATAAATAAATAAATACATGCTGGGGCACAACTGGAAGCACAAATGTGGCCCTATGGGTGTGTGTGTGTGTGTGTGTGCGTGTGTGCGTGTGTGTGTGTGTGTGTGTGTGTGTGTGTGTGTGTGTGTGTGTGTGTGTGTGTGTGTGTGTGTGTGTGTGTGTGTGTGTGTGTGTGTGTGTGTGTGTGTGTGTGTGTGTGTGTGTGATTTAGATGGTTAAATAACCTCAACTTCTACAGAAACACATAAATGAACCCTGTTTGATTCAGTTGTGCTGAAGCAGGGAAATAACAACATTGCTCCAGTGATCTGAATGCATCAAATTCCAATAATCCAACATTTAATCCATCCATCCATTTTCTCCCGTTTATCCGGAATCGGTTCCCAGGAGAAGCAGCCTAAGCCGAGAGGTCCAGACTTCCCTCTCCAGCCACTTGGGCCGGCTCTTCCGGGGGAATCCCAAGGCGTTCCCTGGCAAGCGGAGAAGCATAGTCCTTCCAGTACGTCCCGGGTCTTCCTTTGGGTCTCCTCTCAGTTAAACGTGCCCAGAAAACCTCACCAGGGAGGCGTCCAGGATGCATCCTGACCAGATGACTGAGTCGTCTCAACTGGCCCCTCTCGATGTGGAGGAGCAGCGGATCTACTCCAAGTCCCTCCTGAATGACTGAGCTTCTCACCCTATTTCTGAGGGAGAGCCCAGCCAACCTGCAGAGAAAACTCATTTTATCAAATAACTCTAAGTTTAGTTTAATACAAATTTAAAAAATCTTAATACATTGTAGTGGTAATGAATGAAGAAGCCACTAATAAAAACTCATAACCTTTTCTTTTGTGCACCAAGAAAAAAGTTAAAGATTTTTTTCCTCTTTGCACCTTTATTACATTTTTAGCATGGTTTATTCTGTTTCCGTTAACTTCAGTCCTAATAAGATATCAAGACTAAAATCTACCAAATGACTGGGGTCGTAGCTAATCGATCGTTACTTATTGGGGGGATTTTTAACAAACATTTTTGTCTAGCAGGAGCTGTAATATGATATTTGCTCCAGCTGCAGCCAACTCAATATCTACTCATGTCCAATAATTATTGATCTAACATTAATATTGGTCGATATCGGCATTAAAAGGTATTATTGGAAAATATCTGTAGCGGATGGCTGGATGGAGATTTTCCATTCCATACATATATTACACATTAAACTCTTCAGCTACTTCTCCTCTCTCAAAATGTCAAAAAAAAAATAGATATAATAGATCTGACGTAAAGCTTTTGAGATATTTTAGTTTATTTGGCACAACTTGTGAAGCAGAAATTTTCCCAGTGTAGAGACCGACGACTAAAACAAGAATCATCACCCAAGGCTTGGTTTTCTTATCTGAAGATCTTTATAAATGTTTTATCATAAGTCGCTTTGGATAAAAGCGTCTGCTAAATGAATAAACATAGCAGCAATACACAGAAAAATAAAAATAATCACTAATACACACATCTTAGCATCATGCTTTGGGTTTATGAGATTCAGCTGCTGTTGGAGACAAAATAAACATGACATTTTTCCTGTTACTGACTTAAATTGAAGTAATTGTCATTTCACACAGAACACGTTTAAAATGTAATCATACATAATAGGAGATTTGTGATGTAAGTAACCTAAAATGTTTTAGTTTTTCTTTTTTTTTAATGAGAGGGCGGCTCAGCATTTGTCGGAATTGAAAATTAAAAGTCAAACAATATCGTTATATTGGATATCCATAAATAGCCAATATCGAGCATCCCTCTATTATTTACCCTTTTCTGAGCGTAATAAGCAATTCAAGTAAGGCTTTCTTCACCCTTCATCTTCCAAAATTTTAAAATAATAGAAAAATAACACTTTGTAAGAGCATGTAATGCATTTTATAACACAATCATGTGCACATTGGAGCACAGGTGGTGCAAAAGTCGAACTGATTGGTTTCCTACAACTCTTGCACAGTTTACATTGTGGCTAATAGTTTTGACTAAGAATGTCGCCGCCTGTCATGGCCACTGGACCTTTAATGAACACCTCAATGTGCTTTCTCCCCAACTGTCATGACAACAGGACATCTATCTTTACAAGGTTTCGCTCGTGGCCTCTATCGAATTACAGGGTCAATACATGATAGCTTAATGAGGAAATGCTTTGTCTTGAGTTACACTCAACAGCACTAGTTTAGGGGCGATTACCTATTGCTAACCCTATTCCTGGGCCATTTGTTGCATGAACTGACTGAGTGTCACTATTATGCCATTAGTCTGGATGTCAGAGAAAAAGAAAGCACAATGTGTGAGCAAGACTTAATGGCATTTTTTAAATGTGTCGATCTTGATTTTCTGTGATGATGGGATGTACTGTTTTGCACAAAGGGCCGTTTGTTTTCAAAAGGTGTGTCACAAATGCCAGGGATAAAATGACGAGCCTATTCACTTTTATTATAGCAGAAGTCAATTCTGGCTCGAACACAGCTTGATTACTTGCTCTAATGGTGGTGAGCATTTCTTTGTGTGAGTGAAAGCAATAAAATAAAAGCAGAGCCAATTAGTCAGAGGAAAAGTAACTTTTAACTATTAAATTTTTCAAAGAAATGCTTCTGAAAGTGTCTGTTGACTGGGAGATTTAATTAAAAGGAAGCTTTTCTATTCAGTCATTTTGATACAAACCATAATTTCACATTAAAAAAACCATAATTTCACACTCTCAGAAGCAAATTATTAGCTCACTTCCTGTTTTAATTTAAAAAATATTTTATCCTTTTGGGGTTTTAAGTTTAAATTTTAACAGTGTTGAGGTGAAATTGGGGAAGGAATGCATTTTAAATAGCGTTTATTGTATCTGGTTACACCAAACTAGGGCAGCTATTTATAGCTATGCCACTTATGCATAAAAGATTAATTCAGAAAAAAAAATCGGAATTGATCTTAATCTGCTACTTGTTGGACAGAGATAGCGTGTTGGTTATAATAAGATACAACTTTAAATTTTACATTTAATATAACATTTATTAAGCTTTAGTGTGTTTTATAGGCTATATTAGCCTATGCAGGTGTGCTTGTCGTTTATCTAACTGGTAAATCAAATAGTAATATTCAGTAAAAGTATTTAAGCCCGTAAAAGTGGAGTGAATTCCCAGAGAAAGTATTTTATCGCCCATGAGCGACACAAATATCCCGCCGCGGGAAACACACACACACACATCCCTGTCGCGCTCCTAATCTCCTTCCCGGTGTGTTAAAAAACGTGATAATTATCACCGGGGGTTAAAATAAAGCGAACGGGGCGTTTATCGGCGGTAAAGTCACCGTGCTGCTGCCTGATTCCCCCTCTTTGTGTTTACACATCCGGGTTTCCCGGTTTGCAGCCCATTCCCCATTTAGAAGCCATTTTGGACACAGATCAGTAACATGCATGTAAACCCCGACCGACCTCCTGACGCTGCGGTGCTATTATTCAAGTGAATACCCTTAAAAATAGCGACCAGCCTTCGATTTGTTCGGTTTGGCGGCTCCGCGTTCGGTTTCCGGAACCTTTCCCGATGCGAAATGCGGCACCTTTGGACAGACTAGCGTCCTGGCGGTCAGTTATTCGCTCCTTTTTCTTTGCAACATTGTTGCAGCGTCGCGGCTATTGACACGCGCTGTGGAGGAGGAGGAGGCGTCGGTGGCCACAGGCGGCTCGGAGGGACCGGAGGCCTGCGGACGCTCGGATCCAGGACTGATGTTTTTGGCCAGCCGGAGTTTGAATGCTCGCGAAGGAAAGGGAGCGAAATCTCGGTCTTGTATTCGAAACGGAACATGTCTTTTTCATGGCTGACTTGTTCACTTCTTCTGGGAACTTTGTGCGCAGGTGAGCGGCTGGTTTTATTCTCGTTTTCTAGCTTTTTGCCCGCGACACTTTGTTGTTTTTAGTTTTGGTTGTTTAACGGTCTGAACCAGCTCGTAGTTTAAACTTTGCTCGGCCGGGATTTAAATCTCCCAGCCATAATCTTTTCCGCCCCCCTCCTCCCGTTTAACCCGCAACAATTAAACAATTCCCTTATTTTCATCGGTTCTCCGTTCTTCGATCAGCGCTTTAAACGTTTCTGGTTGATTGCAGTGCGAGTGGGGCTTTAGAAACATCAACATTTAAAACTGTTGCGTCCCCCAACAGGGGCAGGAATAGAAAGCAGCAGCTGCATCAACATCCTGAAACCTTAGAGGCTACATTTCAGCTCTGCTCCCTTGTTTTTATCCACAGCCTGGAAAATAACCTCCATAAACCGCCCTTTTCCCTACTGTAAAGACCCTTTTATTTAACTGGATTTGAACAATCAAAGCGGGTCATTTTGAGCCAGCATCCCTGTCCCAAACAGCTTTTTTTAAAAGCAATGTCCCACGTGAGGCTTGTTTTTCCATTGTTTTGAGTTTTACCATTTCACAAATAGGTGGATTCAAACCCCAGACTCTTCCATCCACTTTTAACACATACATTTTTCATTAAAAACAATGACATCCACTTAATTTTCAACTAAAATGGGTTAGATTTTGAATCAGCTGGATGCTGTGAGCCAAATATTGCTGCAGCTAATACCTTTTATGGTTTATAGATTAGTGCATGGATGGTACACTAAAGCTGCTTCTCCAGATTTACGCTTTTATGGTGTAAAAGCCCCTGTATAAGTGACAGAGGGAAGGGGGGGGGGGGGGGGGGGGGGGGGGTTGGGGAATGATCTTGTAGTAAAAGTCCTCCTGGATCACGTGACTAGGTATCAGAAATGCCATCTCGGTTCAATGGAGCCTCCAGCATCACTGCTCCAGGAGTGAGAGGCCCCCTTTCTGGGTCTCTTTATATACCCTTTCTCCCTGTCCGTCCCATATAATGACCTTGGTCGTTTCATGCACCCCTGTTTTGGTGGAATAAAGGCCACAATGTGGAGCTGGACAGCCAAACGTGTGAATGTGTGAGTGGATGTGTAATGGGTTGGTGGGGGTGAAGCTGGGGGATGGGCAGCTTCCTCCTATAGGCAGGGATTTAAAGAGACAGGCTCTATTTTTCCCTCTGAACAAAGATTAAGCCTGAATTTCCGAGCTGTTTTCAACAACATGGAATCTGCTGCTCACCTCTGTGCCGTCCAAATTCTAACCCCCATGAAGGCAACAATAAAACCCTCTTTGAGGTGTTTTTTGACATCTTTTGTTCTAAGTTGGCCTTGCTCTGGGAAGCATTTGTTGAAAACTCCACGTGAGGAAGATCTGTTTTATTTAGATGTGACCCGTATCTGTAGAAGTAGTGAGCGTGTGCCTCCTTTTTATACCTCAGCTGGCAGATTATCGTTTCAAAGCTAATTTAATTCTGTGATTTCTCCATGTTTTTGGTTTTCTCCCTGACTATTGAATGGGATTTTGCTGAGCCACTATTCAGCAGCTGTTTCTTAGCCCAGAGGAACTCCCTATTTATTATTATTTTACTACAGAGAGCTCCCCAAACTGGCCATATGCCAGGGAGATGCTAGTTTCTGCTTTGAGATGTTTCACCAGGGCACGGAGCAGATCCTGAGCCACATGCCTGCACTTCCACTGATCTGACTGAGACCTTTTTGTCCCCGTCAGGATACAGTCTTGGCGAAGTGGAGACCCGGGAGTGTGTGTACTACAATGATAACTGGCGTACGGAGAGGACCAACCAGAGTGGCTTTGAGCGCTGCGAGGGGGAGAAGGACAAGCGCCTGCACTGTTATGCCTCCTGGCTCAACTCCTCAGGGACGATCAAGCTGGTGAAGAAAGGCTGCTGGCTGGACGACTTCAACTGCTATGACAGGTGAGGTCACCGTGGATTAAAGTTTATAATCTGGGTGTCTGGCTCGCACCCAGGGCCCACACGTGATGGATAACATCTTATTTTTAATTTCCTGTTAGATTTTCTACGACACATCTCAAAGATTTGATGACAAAATAACTATTGATTGGCATTTTTCTGATTGCAGCCTCGCAGGTGTGAGAACAGGTCCTTTCATCTTTTTACTAAATTGCAGATTTTCTGGTCTTTTGGCTTGGTTAACACTTAAAGGAGGTATTTCATACTTGTAGAGCACGTAGGCGGAGTTTTTCAACATTTTTCTAGTTAAAAAAGGAATGTGTGGTGCCCATCGCCAGTTAGTTTTAAGCTGAAATCGTTCTACGTTGGTAAATGAAGTAAACGGTTGTCAAGAAGGCATGAGTCTTCTATGCGTCGGTCCATGTGGTGGGACCAAAACTCTCGGGCACCTGTTTGATACCCTAACTTTTAAGATTCCTGCATTATTTGCAATTTGTGTGAAACCAGGTGGTTATTTTACAGGAAGCTGTGAAATAGTTAGGTCACCCAGGTTATGTTAAGAATGGAAACCTGAGCGGTGTGTAAAAAAATTCACTTTCTTTACATTTATTTGCAGCCTCTTAAGAAATTTCACCTTTGTTTGCTAGTTCATTTAATTGAATTTAAAAGCTTAAAAAATGTGTAGTAAGAGTATTAAAGCTGGTGAAGAGCTGCGTTCTTTCAGGGTGATTTTTCATGCTATCCACAGCCTTGGTTGATAAAAAAAATCATTCACATCTTGTTAATTTGGAGTCTTTCTGTGTTAAAATAGAAGTGACAGAATCTTCACTACAGGATTCAGGCTGCTTACGTCTGAGACCGTAGCCAGTAAACAAACAAAGTCTTGGTTCATTTAGTTTTTATTGCGTTTTAATTTTGGTCTTGTCCTTTTATATTTCACTCTAATGAAAGCGTGTCTTTGTGCCATTTGTTGTTTTAGGCAAGAGTGTGTCTCTATGGAGGAAAACCCTCAGGTGTTCTTCTGCTGCTGCGAGGGGAACTACTGCAACGAGCGATTCACTCACCTTCCTGACTTGATTGGAAATCGAGGTAGGTGGTAAAAGCATCACGCACATTTTATCATCCATCTGTCCATTTTTGGCTGCTTACCCGGAGTCGGGTCGCGGGGGCAGCAGCCTAAGCAGGGAGGCCCAGACTTCCCTCTCCTGCAGCCACTTGGACCAGCTCCTCCAGGGGAATCCCAAGGCGTTCTCTGGCCAGCTGAGAAACACAGTCCCTCCAGCGTATCCCGGGTCTTCCCTTGGGTCTCCTCCCAGTTGGACGTGCCCAGAAAACCTCACCAGGGAGGTGTCCAGGAGGCATCCTAGTCAGTGCCCGAGCCACCCTCAACTGGCTCCTCTCGATGTGGAGGAGCAGTGGGTCTACTCCGAGCCCGTCCCGGATGACCGAGCTTCTCACCCTATCTCTAAGGGAGAACCCAGCTACCCTGCGGAGAAAACTCATTTCAGCCACTTGTATCCGTGATCTCATTCTTTAAGTCACTACCCAAAGCTCGTGACCATCGGTGAGGGTAGGAATGTAGATCATCCAGTATAATTCACCAGAACAGATCGGTACAACGCCCGCATCACTGCAGACGCATCACCAACCCACCTATCGCTCCGTCTTTCCCTCACGCGTGACCAAGACCTTGAGATACTTCGACTCCTCTACTTGAGGCAGGACCTCAGCCCTGACCTGGAGAAGGCATTCTACCCTTTCCAGACTCAAGATCGTGGTCTTAGGAGAGCTGATTCTCATCCCGGCTGCGAACCGCTACAGCGAAAGCTGGAGATCACGTTCTGATGAAGCCAACAGGACCACATCATCTGCAAACAGCAGAGACCTGATCCTCAGGCCACCAAAGCAGATCCCCTTCTATCATAGGTCATATTAGTTAAAACAGTCCTCATGTCGGTCTTTGGTTTTCAAACCTTCAAAACGATCCTGGTTCTTATTGTTATGGAGTTCGGCTCATCTGGTAGTTTTAACTTCCCTTTTGCCAAACTTTGTTTTATGTTTATTGTACTTTGACAAGATTTTAGAATAAATGTTGACTAGTTATAATGTGTGTACTTTATTTCTTAAGCTGTTGAGTGTCACATGATCACAGACGGAACGGCTGATGTTGCCTCTAGATGAGACCTGCCATTAAACATCCGTGTCTAAGAGTAAAAGCATGATAATCAAGACTCTTACATAATTAATGTCGTTACCCCTTCAAAGGTTCAAACATCAGTCTGAAGCTATTGACTCGACATGTCGGTAAAAGTCCTGATTTTGTTTGTAATCGTTTCTACACACATATTTTTATTTCCTTTTAAACTTTATTGAACTAGATCAACAGCGGCTGCATTCAAACTTTCCATCTCTCTATCCAATGTGAACGTGATTTCTTCTCATCAAAGGCATATTTAAGTTTCTGTAATGTAGAAGCACATTGAAGCCTACGCTTTTGGATTAAAGAGGACGCGGAGGTGACAAACCAAACACAAAGGCTCATTTGTCAGTCGGAGGTAAAGGTCGAGCCATCTCGGTTGAGCGTGTCCTCATTTTTAACACCGGGACTTCTCGTCAGGCTGCTTATAACCCTCAATTTCTGCAGCTGATACTCTGCAATTATTTTGTTCCTGCTTTACAGTAAAAATCCGGCCTCCGCCTCGTGTGCCGTCTCTGCTCAATGTGCTGGTGTACTCTCTGCTGCCACTGTGCGTGCTGTCCTTGGCGCTCATTCTGGCCCTCTGGATGTATCGCCACCGGAAGCCTCCTTATGGTCACGTGGACCTCAGTGAGGTGAGACGAGCCCTCCTCTCCGGGTGAAAAATTCCGATGATTCCCTGGAGATCAGAAATGTCGTCTGACTTGCTGTAGCGTTTATTGCTTCAGCAATAAAACCTATTGTGTTCCAAGAATATACTGAGAACTTGTTTCTTCCTGCTCTCTCAGGATCCCGGACCAGTTCCTCCATCCCCATTGGTGGGTCTGAAACCACTGCAGCTGCTGGAAATCAAAGCTAGGGGGCGCTTTGGTTGTGTTTGGAAAGCTCGGTTAATGAGCGAGTATGTGGCAGTGAAAATCTTCCCTGTTCAGGTTGGTTCAACTGTTTGTGCAGGTTTCTGTGGTGATTGCAGTTTACAAGCGCACTGAATCCTCGGTTTGCCTTTGCAGGATAAGCAGTCGTGGCAGAACGAGCGGGACATCTTCATGACTCCCGGGATGAGACACGAAAACATCTTGCGTTACATCGCTGCAGAGAAGCATGGAACCAATCTGGAAACGGAGCTTTGGCTCATCACAGAATTTCATGAGAGGGTGAGCAGGCCTGTTAACAGACTAACTGATTCCCAAAAGTGGAGTTTACTCCCTAAACAAACAACTTTATTTGGTGGATTTCAGCTCACGTTGCTAGTCTGATCTGAACATCTTGCTCGCTTATCAGAGGATGAAATGATGGTTTTACCATCATCAGCAATCATTTGCCTGCAAATTAAATTGAGAATCGTCTTCTGGCTCTTGTCGAATCCAGCGCACAGTTCTTCCATGAGCTTACAGTTCTGGTTGGCTCCCCTTTTGGAGGCTAAACTGCTGCGAGCGTGGTAGAAATGGATTAAAAGTTTCCTGTGTAGGCGCTAATCCTCCTTCTTTAACCTTTTGTGTGTTTGTGTGAGAGCAGGGCTCATTGACGGACCACCTGAAGGGTAACACTGTGACCTGGACTGAGCTGTGTCACATAGCAGAGACCATGGCCCGCGGCTTGGCCTACCTCCATGAAGACATTCCCAGCTACAAGGGAGAGGGGCCTAAACCCACTATTGCACACAGGTAGGGTAAAGCTAAAGGGTTTTGGTGCCAACAGACTATTGAAAATGCATCTTTTAAATAACGGAAACACAAGTGTTGCAAAGCAGAGCTTTGGTAGACTGACGGAGTTCATTCCTACCAAGGATCTGCTGGGCCTGAATCATTAGTTTGACTCTGAAAGCTGGTGAACTAATTTCTGTGACTGCCGTGACTAAATGCCTCCACTAAAAACTGCTCTTTAATACCCGTCATGAAATGGCTTCACAGGGACTTCAAGAGCAAGAATGTGATGCTGCGAGATGATTTAACTGCAATCATCGGAGACTTTGGGCTCGCTGTACGGTTCGAACCGGGAAAGCCTCCTGGAGACACTCACGGCCAGGTACGGCGGACTTCATCCATAATTCTGCTTTAAAATTCACAAGTGGCTGTTTTTGTTGGTTTGAAGGCAGCTATGCTGAGCTGGAATCTGTTTTCTGTTGTAGGTTGGCACAAGGCGTTACATGGCTCCAGAAGTGCTGGAGGGAGCCATTAACTTCCAGCGAGACTCCTTCCTGAGGATAGACATGTATGCCATGGGCTTGGTGCTATGGGAGCTGGTGTCCCGCTGCACCGAGGCAGACGGTGAGTCAGACGGTTCAGGAATGCCGCTTCGCCTACAGGTGAAAGGTCACTTGGCTTCAGGCTGGCTAATAAACACAGGATTAGTTTTGGTTTTGTCTGAAGAGCTGTCTGATCTCGTGCCTTTTTAAAAACCAAAACTATAATTGAAGTTTGTGTCGGACACTCCTTCACTCTGCTGGCCCGTTGTCTCTTCAGGTGCAGTTGGTGAGTACGTGCTGCCGTTTGAGGATGAAATAGGTCAGCATCCCTCCCTGGAGGATCTGCAGGATGTGGTTGTGCACAAGAAGATGCGTCCAGTCATCAAGGACTGCTGGCTCAAACATCCTGTGAGTAATTGTGGAAAAACGCTACAGCAATGTCCACAACTAGACCAGGATGTGTTGCATCCTTGTTTAAACCATCTGAGGTCACTGTTCTCCCAAACCAACACTTTCAGCTGTGATGGAGTATCTTTTTGCAGATGTGATCTTCTCTAACTTCTCTTTTAGGGTCTGAGCCAGATGTGCGAGACCATCGAGGAATGCTGGGACCACGACGCAGAGGCTCGGCTGTCTGCCGGCTGCGTGGAGGAGCGCATCAGTCAGATTGCCAGGACGATAGGCAGCACTACCTCAGACAGCCCCGTCTCCATTGTGACATCGCTCATCAACGAGGACCTACCTCCCAAAGAGTCCAGCACCTGAACGGGTGACACCACCACCCTCCCCTTACATGAGCTCTTGACTTTTCATCTTCCTTTTTTCTTTTTTTTCGCCCAAACTCAGCGGATTGTCGTGCATATTTAACAACTCAAAAAGAACCCTCTAGCAACTTCAATGCAGCTGCTATTTTCTCCTGATACTGGTATTTTGTGTTCAAGTCAGATCTTTACCGACGCATCCGTCTGCTGTAGTTGAAGTAGTAATAAGCTGTGCGACGGGCACATCTGATGGTCTCCTCGTGTCAAACCTGTTGTCATTACCTCATGTATTTCTTTCCTGTGTTGTCTCTTTTGGTTACCTCGTGAGTTGATGTCTGTGCCGTATTTCCCGTCGTGTTCATATTCGTCTGCGGCCAAATTCCACGAACCTGTGCTCCAAACCTCAGACGACTTGCTGCACACCTTGGAGGAACCGTTTTTAGACTGTTAGACAAATTATACTCATCTTCCTCAGGGGTCGAAGCTGTTTTATTTCAAGGGAGGGAGCTAAATTGGAACCGAGCAGTCGTATTGGACGTTTGGGACTTTTCGAAGGTTTGGGACAGGTGTCTTGTTCTCGGAACTACCTCTCAGGTATCCAGCAGGCTTCTTTGGAACATTTCTCTAAGTTCAGAGCCAAGCAAACTAGCTAGCTATCATGGACGTAATCCTGGATTTTCTTTGTTTTTAATTGTTCAATTTCAGAGTTACTCCTTTCCCGGTGCCAGGGGCACTGCCGGATGCTGTCTGGAGTTGAAATGTTACTCATTCTTAATTTTGACTGTATGCATTTGTGTGCAAGAGTGTGAATCTGAAGACTAAATGGTGTGTGGCGGATAGCGCGTGTTTTTAAGGTGCGAACCATGAACAGGTAATTGAGGGTTTATCCTTGCAAGGGTCATACATGATCAAGCAACATGTCTGTCTTTTTGGTTATTAGACTCAGTTGGACGCTGGTCCCTAGATACCTCAGTCACTGTATGTCATGCAAGGAGAGCTCAAATGGTTGCCTTTGTCTCAAATGCAATGCCATAGTTGTACCATAACATAAACATACATTGAATGTCCGTTATGCTGCTGTGACCTTTCCAGGATACTCAAGGATTTGTAGATGTATTGTTTGTTAATATAACACTAACATGCGATAACTATTCATGATATTATGTGAGGCTAATATCCTGTTTTTTTTTTTTTGTGTTTTGTTTTCTTTTGACTGGGTAAGCCTTTGGCTGCTCACTCCTCCAGACTGACCTCAGATATTCTGACAAGTACCTCAGGCATTTTTCTACATGTGTATCGAGTTGTGTTATGTATTTTATTGTGTTTTAGTAGTCGAGATATTTTATTGCCGGTCTGGCCTCTGCCTTTGGAGGATTCTCGTATCTTATTTGATTTGGTTTCTAGTAGAACCTGACCAGTTTTCATGGTTTTTATTGCTCTACAAACCTAAAAGAAGAGAGGTGAATTCCTGTAAATATACACACACACACACAGACGCCTGAATATATTCATTTTGTTTTCATTTCTATACAAAATCAGGGCATTGCTGTTATTTCTGTTAGGGCAAAAGGATTCCTCAGCATCATATTTGCATATTTAAGTTAACCAGCCCTGTGATGATTTTATCTTTTATTTTTTCAGAGGAGTGTTACTGATCTAAGTGAATCATGGTATTGACTTACCTTTATTAGAAGCTGTAAGGGTGGCACTGGCATACAAAATTAGTGTGTATATCATCAAAAGGACAAAGAACAAATATTTTTATGGTTTGGTGTGGCAGCTTCTGTGATTGGCCACTTGTTTGAACAGTATTGCCTCAATATTAACCTGCTGATGTGATGTTCTGACCTGTTTAGTGATAGTTTAGCCACGTTGGACAACACACAGGCTCATCTGTTGTGCTTTGATTAGTGGTGTGGAAAGGTAGTGATTTTAACAGTGGTCTGTAGCTCTTGCTGATGTGCAGTTTTGGTAAAGGACTTTTTGGAGAACATAATCAACTCAATGCTGAACAATGTTTTTAGTGTTTTGAAACCATCATTGTGTTTGTAGCCACATGACTGACTGATGCAGCACCATCAGGATTCACGTAAACGGCGCCATGTGCACGGACCAAGGGTCCAGCAATATTTCCTAAACAGCAATAGTCATTTAAGTTCATTAAATGCAGCTGTGACTTGGCAAGTATCTTCTGCAGATCAACAGAATACATCTCCTCAAACCTGGATCATGCTCTGACGGTCCAAGTCTCCTGATGGGAAAGATGCAGCGGGTTGAACATCTTGTGTGCACGCTGAACGTGGCCCAGGTGCTTTCACAAATTGTGCCAGGCAGACAACAGTCACGTGTGATTAAAAAAAAAATGCCGTGATGGGTTGTTACCTCCAAATGCTGTCTTAGACCCAGCTCTTCTGAACCGAAAAAAACCATGTTACCTCATGCAGTACCTTGTTTAGTAACACTAACCTGGAGTCAGTCTCATCTTCAACAAAAAAAGAAAAAATATATCAATTATTATGTATATATTTACTTGCTAGATGTAAAAGGTTTCTTCCTTTTCATGTGTGGATCCTGTGAAAACAAAATCCTATATTTTTTTTCTTTAATTTACAGTCAGCATATTGTTTATTTGTTCTGTGAATGAATGTTGGAATTATGTGACCATCCCTGTTTATGTGAATTGTGTGTGTGTGCGTGTGTGTGTGCGTGTGTGTGTGTGTGTGTGTGTGTGTGTGTTGGTTTCTTTAAATCTGTATGAAAGAAAACTATGTGCGTTGAAATGCTTAGAAATATAAACTAGATGAGTACATTCATCTTTTTGTATATGAAAATAAAGACAAATTCTGATTAACCATGTAAAATTTATTGCGTTTATTTTTCAGTGATTATAGCTGATCGTTGTGCAGCCCAGTTTATTGTCTTAAATTATAAGAAAGTTCTATGGTTGCAGTTGACACTAGATGGCAGTAAGGATGTCAATTTTTTTGTTCACTGTGGAAGGTATTTTTTTCATGCTTTCCTCTGAAAACGAGCCCTTATTTACTTTTTCCACCTTCAAACAAATTACTGCTGACAACCCATGGATTGTAAACATATGTATTTTAATTCGTGTGTTTTATGACCAACTTAAAACTGTTTTAATGGCTCCCACAATGTAGAAAAGCATTATACGTAGGAACGTAAATGTGTGAAACATTTAATAATTTGGGTGTTTTACATGAAGCATCAACTTTCATTGACTCAAAAAGATAGCTTGAAGCATCTGTTGAAAATAATGACAACGTGTTATCTAAAGAGGCTAATTAAAAAAGTGAACCAATTCACTTCTTTAAATCACAAACGTCCGTTAGCACTTGAAGGCAGCACAGAATTGTTCAAAGCCCCAAGAGCCAATGAAAACGCTCAATATATGTCACGCGACAAGCCGACTCGTAAACTTCTTGAGAGTTTCTAATAGTAGGTTGCTTGCTTCGCGATGTACAGTTAGTTTATGCAACGACTTTCTGCCCTTTATTGGACTTTTTGTACTTAAAGGAAATGTTTGTGGATTTTTATTACTTCTGATTAGGGGTTTAGTTTTTGGATACGCAGACTAATATATCATTAAACTGCCGAGCAGGTGAGTTTAGAAACGTATTTTGATTGTGCTAGCAAAGCAGTTATTCGTTGTTACCCGGGGAGGTAGCATCATTTTGTTTAAATCTTACGGTGAAAGAAAACAAAAACAAGCAAGTAAAAGCTGCGATTCCATAAAATTAAGGTGTGTTGTGGATTTATTTGTTATTGCTAAAGTAAAGTAACTGTACTGAGTTTATAAACGTTTTGTTAGCTGAGTAAAGCTTACAGAACGACGTCTTGACGTCACGTTGACCGACTGATTCTTGATTACTACCAATTTGTTATAATAACTGCAATTTAAGGAGTGGAAATATTAATAAATGACGATAAAATCAGATTTTATTTTAACTGTAAATTGAACAATGAGGAAAAATATCATATAACCTAATAGACATGTGATTTAGGAGTTTCCTGAGGAATGCTTCACAAACATGTTACTTCAGTCCCATCCATGAATACTTTTTCTCGCACGATGCTCTTGTTTTCAGGGATGAGAGCAGTGTGGTGAGTTCAGGTGCTAGCTGGACGATCGGACCACCTGGAAGGGTGGTGGCTGCTCCAGCTGCTGGGATGCTACGGAAGAGCAACAGCAGCAGCAGCAGCAGTGGTGGTGCTGGTGGTTTAGGCACAAAGCACGTCCAAGATCTTCCACAACACAAAGCCAACCCCCACCCAAAATCCTTATCACCCAGATCCACGAAGGCTTGGACTATGGGCCGCTCCACCAGAAACCCAAACCCTCTGAGCACCATGGGACTCTCATCCCGCCTGATGGGGGCCCCAGGTGTGGACGCAGACTATGTCATGCAGCTGGTGAATGATGTGCGATGGTTTGCAGATGTGTTGCTGAACCTCAAGGATGCTTTTCAGGAGAAAGGTGAGTGCAGATGGAACTTGGATGTTAAAGATTTGCAACAGAGCTGTGAAGGAACTAGAAAGGAGTAGGCGATTAAAGGAAATCCAACTTGAGCAACCATCCGTATCAGATAGGGTATTCTTTTCAGATGTGTTTGTGCTGACACACTGATTTCTTCCATTGAGACTAAAAATAGTTGAAATTCTTTTTCTTGCACATTCCTTAGTGGGTACTGAAAAGATCAATGCTATTGTGTTTGGTAAATTATCTGCACAAATACTATTGTGTTGATGGATTAGCAGCTTTCTCTAAAGCATTATCATGACTATTTGTTAGGTAATTGGTTGTATAACCAGCCAGTGGTGCTCATGCTCCAATAAAAACTATGAAAGGGTGCTATAAACAGCTCTACACACAATATTAAGGGAGGTAAACATATATGTCATGCTGTAGCATTCTATTCATGACAGCTTGCCGGGATTACCCGTGAAGTGTCAGTTCATATTGTGACAACTGCCTCACTTTAAACACACCGGAGCGCTTGCAGTTCTGTAAGTGTCTTAGCGTTGACTACGCTCGCCCACGCACTAACACATACAGACAGGAGAATGAGAGGAGTAGACACTAGATCAGAAAAAGGTAACTCACTTTCTTCCTTTATTTTATTTATTTTATTTTCTCCTGAGATGCTTTGGCTTTTGTTTGCAGACATACAAACAATCCACCTTCACTCATGCGAACATTTCTGCACAAACGTATAAACACTTCCTGTGGGTGGCTATACGTCGTGGTATGGCTGCTAGAAAATAATTTCTTCCATTATGAGTCCATCTCCACAGCAGTTCAAGTTTGTGAAAAATAATCACGACTCTGGCTTTAGATTTTATAATGCGTCAAACACTTTTAAGTTTTTTCAGATGTAATCATGTCGCTTTCTGAAACGAAAACAGAACCTGCCACATTTGCAACTCGTGCTGCTAGAGTACAGTTAAGGATGCTTAAGGAAACACACAGCGACCTACTGTATGGCAGTGGGAGGAAGATGTTTATCCATTCCTGTGGCTGGAGGAGTGAGGCCTCCGTGAGAGCGCTTTGGCTTGTGTCGTGCTGCGTGTTACATTGAGCCATCACAAAAACATGTGGGGTATTTGCCTTCCCATTAAAAACGATCCCTTGCTCAGCAGGTGGGATGAAATCATACATTATGACCCGGTTATGATATTTGAAAGAATTTTTTCTCTCTGAGACACTAGCAAATCATTGGCTGTCCCATCAAGAAGTGAGGCTGACTTTCAGTAAAGGAATGAGTTTTTTTTTTTCATCCATCCATTTTCATCCACTTATTCTAATCGTTGCTGACCTGGAGAAGGCATTCTACCTATTTTCATATCTAAATTTGAATTTAAGGCATGCTTTGCTAGCATAATCAAAATATAGGATCCTCTGAATTCCCAGAAATGCCCATATACTAGTATCCACCTCGAGTAATGTTTTCCCATTTCCTGTTAATTAAGAATCACCGGCATTGTCTTCATCTCCTGAAGACAGACATACATTACCTTGTGGCATTCGTGTAGCAGAGTCTGGGTTTGTGAGATCTTTCCTGCTCAAACACGGAGGTCGTGACATGTCATCCCAGAATGACGTAGTCTCTGAAACCGCCTCAAACAGGTTAGGATTAGAAGGAATTAATAATAAACACATTTGTTGTCTACACTGTCTGATGGCATGATGATGGCAGCTTCCTGATCTGAATCTGTCCGTGGATGTCGACACCACGTCCGTCTTTACCTTTGTATGCATTCCAAACTGGTGGAGCAGGCATGTGTTTTTTTTAATGAAAAACCACCTTACATTGTTCTTATTTCAGTCAGGTCAAAGTAATAGTTTTAGATCGGTTTTGATTGGTTTGTCACATAAAATAGGACGTTTTTGCTCATTTTTGTGTTAAAAAAATGCTAATTCTTGTAGAATGTTTGAGTAAATTTAGTTGTAATGTGGATAAACAGTGACATTTTCAAAATACAGAAAACATCATCTGTAAAGAGAACTGTTTATTCATTTATTTTTAAGGATAAAAAAGTTTTTTGTTATAATTCTGATACTCTTGAAAGGATTGTTCCGGTCCTTTAAAGTGCAGTTCTGTAGAACGGTTATGAACAGCATCATACCTGCTGTAGATAACAACTCCGAACAACCTCTGTTTGAATAAACACAGTTTAGGTTACAATCAAACTGATGAGTTAATAAATAGTCACAGTGGGGCCAGTTGAAAAGAGACTTCATTTCAATCTCGAATATCTAAAATTAGTTTATGCCAACTCAATTTTTTATTCTTGACATTGCTGCAAATTTAACATTTTAAAATCATCCTGCAAAATAAGTTTAGAAATCACAGCCAGAAGAGCTACAGTTGCTGACTTTCAAGCTAATTTCAGCCTCAAAAACCACCAAATTTCATGTAAATAACTATGTAATGTTAAATTTATGTCAGTGTAAATGAAACAAAATAACATTTGCACAGACTGCAATGAAATATTTAACAGCTAAGACGGCAGAAACCATATATTTTGGCTATTTTTTACATTTCAGAATAACAAAGCATCCACTGTAAGAGACAAACACTCTCACAGCAACAACATTGCAGAGTTATTAGACTGAGATTTGTGAGGAGGAGATTAGCAAAGGTTCTTTGTTATTTTCGTATTCGAGAATTTCACAGAGCACCGAGTGAAACTGATGCAGTGTTTTGAGATCCTTCTGGGTTTTATTACAGATTTTAGTCTGCGTGCCTCATGCTGGTGTCCATCCTGAGAAAACTCTGCAGAGTTTAGCTTGGAAGGTGCTTGTTTTGTCTTTTTGAGTCCCTGCTAAGGTTTAGCTGGAGGCTACTTGGTAACACCAGAGGTCTGACTGATGGAAAACTAAGAGAAACTTCATCATGGACTTTCTCTTGGGTTAACAAGATTCGCCTCGCTTTAAACCACCACTTCACACTTACATGTGTGACCGTGATTTTAGTTTACTCTCACTTCTAACTTCACCTTTGGTCAGAGCTGTCACTCAAAGGCTGGCAAAGTTTACATTTAGAAAAGAAAAATAGAGCTGAATGTACGGAAGTGCAGAGCTGCCAACCATACAAAATATTTTAGGAGCAATATCACATTATAACATCTTAACTTTATTGTTTGAACAATATTATTTTCATATTCTTACAATATGCTATCACGTTTGTACAATACATTATGCAGAAGCCGACCGATATATTCATCTTTTTCTATATCAGCCATTGGCCGAAATCGTGTTTAAAAGCCGATTAAAAAAACCTAAAAAAATCAGGCCAACTGCCGCCACTACTAGACTGAAGAAAGGACCCG